CTCCATCTAACACACTTCTTTGCCATCCTCTCTCCTTCAAGGACCCCGACAACCTCAACCACCAGGCCCTTGGCGCATCTGCAAGTCCAAAGACTCCTTTCTTGACCTTCGCCAGGCAGCCCGCAGGGATCGGGATGCAAGGACCTCGGCGTGGGTCCGTCCCTTTCAAGTACAATTCTCGCACGACATACTTGTCTCCCTTCAACAAGGCTGCCCGCACATCTGCGCTCATCAGTGCCCAGGATGGGTTCGATGCTGCCAGACTCAGAAGCACATGCTGGGCAATCCTACTGCCCGTGGGTGCATCCCGACGTTCACCTTGAAGATTCTCCACATCCTTGAATCCTGGCACCACCAACCGAGCGTTGGCCTTCACCGGAAGGGGGCTGCTTTCGGTTCTCAACGATGTGTTCCTGTCCGTCAGCACGAACCTTGGTTGTAGGATTCGTTCTATCTCCTGCCTTCGCTCCAAAGCTGATGGGCTAAGAACCTCCACTGCCTCATTCTCCAGCCATTTCTTCCCTGGTCCTGAGCAGCGTCTCTATACAGGCTCTTCATCTCCTCACTCATTGCACTCCATCTTTCTTCCTTGCCCACTGCCGCCTGATACGTCTCATGCTCAGCTCCTCCAGCAGGCAAAGTCCATCCAAAACGCTGATCCAGCTCCGCCACGCTTCTACTTGGCATACTCCATCGACCATCCCATGTTCCATGGTCCTCCGCCGCAGATACCGCCTCCTTGACGTCCTTGACCGCCATGTCCGTCACCTGTAGCAGGGGATGCTGTTGAGCTGCTGCTTGAGTCAGCATCACCTCCAAATTCCGGTCGGCAAGCTTCAAGGGTTCAAAGATCCTCCTCTTGGACGGTTGTGCTTCTCGACCAACATGACCTTCTGACAAGGCTCTCCTCATTGCTCCTTTCGCTGCTTCCAAACGAGCCTTCTTCTCTACCTCCGTTGGCCGTGACCCTGAACTCTCCGACGGCTCCCCTCTCATGTCTGCCAGGTTCTCTCTCCTCTGGTCCGTGGGGGTCTCCGGCAGCCTCTGCATGGGGGTCTCCGGCAGCCTCGGAATGGGCGTTTCTCCTCCAGTCAACTCTTCAAGGGGTCTCACGTCGTCTTCTGCAATTCTCTCAGGCACCTCCAGCTCACCTGTGCTCCTTCTTGATGTCAAACGACTCAGCATTGGATTTCCTGATGATGCAGGAACCACTCCTCCCGCTGGGTATGGAAAGGGGTAGACGACAGCCTCCACAGGCCTCGGAACCGGTCTCTCCGGCTCCGGAGCTTGCTCCTCCATCTGTCTCTCATCTCCACGTTGATCTCCACGGTCATCTCCAGGATCCTCCGGATCATGATCCTCCGAAAACTCTACCACCTCACGAAGAAGCTCCAACGAAGAGGCCGGCCTCGAATGCTCCATTGCCACCTTCGTGAGATTGCCCCGATAGGCAACGTAAGCTGCCGTCGGGATTCTGCCTCCTTCCAAAGCCACCACAGCCGCCGGACCATGCCATTTCCTCAACTGCACTCTCTTCCTTGACAACGACTTCCTCGAAGTTGCCTTCTGCTCGCGGAAGAAGCACACGATCTGGCCCGGCTGGTAGTCCGTCCAAAGGGTAGGTCTCCTCGCTCTCGCAAGTTCCGCCTTGCGCAACTTCACCATCGCTATTCTTGCCACTTCTCGCATAGCCACCTGCCTCTCCATGGATGGCTCGTTCTCGATCAGCGAGTGCTGAGCTGAGCCAACCTCGCTCGACCATCTCCGGGAATCACATCTCCAAGAGTTCGGGGCTGCTTGCCAAGCACAAATTGGGCCGGTGAAAATCCAGTCTCCTTGACGTCGCCATTGTGTGCCTCTACGGTAGCCGCAACAACCTCCTCCATCTCGGCCTTAGTGCACACCGCATACTTGTTGACCAAGACTCGAGCTAGGGCTTTCATCGTAGCTCCTGCACGTTCCACCGCATTCATCCAGGGTGCCTCCACCGGTACATGATGAAGAACGACATCGTGATAGTCCATCGCGGTTTGGAAAGCTGCTGGTGTGGTGGGCGCTCCGGTCCCAAATCAGCCACCACCACTCTCGGAGCTCCTACACCTGATACTTAGACACGGCATCCACAGCATGCGCCACCCAGTGCGTCCTGTCAAAGCCATCGGGGATGCCGAAAGGCAATCAACCTGGGCGTCGAGTTCCAGGCCTCTTCACATCATGACAGGACCCACATTTCAGCTCCTTGGCCGCTCTGATAAGCTCAGGCAATGCCCCCGCCATCATCAAAGCCTTTGCCAGGCGTTGTGGTGACCTGCGCCCTGTGTTTGCATGTAGCCTCATCACGCTTGCCGTTGCGCAGGTGTGGGGTTGACCTCATCTATGTCTGGAAGGTCTATCTCTTCCTCAGACTCCTCTTCTCTTGGCTGTCCTGGCTCAACTCCTTCTCCAGCTTGAAGGTCCTCCTCCAGATCTCGTCCAGGATCAACCTCTCCGACGTTGACCTCCCTAAAACCTTGCTCACCGCTGTTCTTCTCCGAGTCAAACTCCTTCTCGGTGCCATCGACAATGGCTCGTGCAAGTGCTCGAGGGTAATGGCCAGCCGCCTCGGTGATCTTGCTGCCACCGATGACTGGTTCATGATCATGTGACCCATCACATCTCTTGTCACTCGTGAAGCCTCTTGAACAGTCGCGCAGCTTCTCTCTCACAAGCTGAGTACTTCTCCGTGTCCGGTCCGAGTGTGGTTTCCAGCATCTGCACTGAATCGTCCAACGCGATGCCCTCCTTCTTCATCTCTGCCACCAAGGTCCGGTACTTCAAAGCAAAGCTCACCACCCCTTCACCGTTGGCCCTCTTGGTCTGCATATAGAACCGCTCACGTGGTTCTCCCTTCTTGTCCGTCACCGTCTGGCCGATCATCTCATCCCACGCTTCCAGGATCTTGTTGATGCCCTTCGCATAGTCCGCTTGCTGCGTCTGAGTGCTGTTGCCTTCCTCATCCGTCACCCAGACCTCCGGCTGGTGGGCCAACTCCGCCGGTTCGAACTCCAGGGCTCTCAACTTGGCCGCGCCCTTCTGCTTGATCGCAAACCGGGCCGCCAGGCTGAAGTTTGCAGTCTTCTTCAAATCGATCGACTCCAGCCACCACACCACGAGCTTCTTGAACTCCCTCAACGAATCTGCACGTCCATCCCAAACCGGAATGGACGAATCGAAGCCCGCCTCTGACATGCCACCGGGTCCGCCGCCTGATCGCTCGGACTCAGCCATGGCCTGCCAGTGTACTTGAAGTCCACAATGCACTCCACCAGGTCGAAGAACTTGTTCTCGAAGAAAAGAGGGGGCCGCCGGCCCAGGTGCTCACCCGACGGGAGCAACTACCGGATCAGCCTGCAGCGGGCTCACCAGGATGGGAGCACCAGCAAAGTCCTGCTCGGTGTGACAGCAAAAGTCAAAGCTCAGGGCGTCCTCAAGTCCAAGGGTCGCTATGGCTCACGCTACCACTGAGGAAACACGAGGGTCTTAGATGCAAAAGAGCCCCGCGTAATTTCCGCGTTCCGATGCCCTGAGGCTCAAGCGCTGCGGTTCATGATGTCTATTCACCATGATGACTGATCATGCATGCAAGTCCAAAGGCAAGATGGGTTGTTTCACACAATGATAGCCGGGGTTGGCTCGAGTCATTTTGTGCCCTGTTTGTGCCCTGTAGTTGTTGCCAGTCATTCGCAGTTAAGTTCTGTCCGTACATCAATTTGCGGGGTGCCTTTGTATTTTCCTGCATTGTGAGTTAAGTTAGCGGTCGGAAAGGCATTGGAAAAGGGTGGTTGGAGGGCGTCGTCGGATAGAGTCGTCGAAATTGAGGCGAGCTTGTTGTCGGAAGGCTTGTCGGAACCCTTGTCGGAAGTTGTCGGTTTGAATGTCCCCAAAAATTGGCTACATTCAGGTTTATCGGTCAATGTAGTTGAAAAACGCTGGCGTCGGCCAATGTAATTGTCAGGGTATATTACTTACTTACCTACTTACTTACTTTCTTACTTACGGGCCTGCTTGCCTTTTCTGTTGTTGGGGGGTGGAGGGGGGAGGAGTGACAGTTACTTACTTACTTACTTGCTTACTTACTGACTTACTTACGGGCCTTGCTTTTTTTACGAGGGGGAGGGGGGAGGGGGGTGGGGCCTTACGTGCTTTCGTGCGGACCTGCTTGCTGGTGCACATTCTTACCTACGGAATTGCGGGCCGACCCGCGTAACGTGGCCCGTTTTTTCCCGCGCAAGTTTTTCCTAGCCATTGTGGCGCAGTGGTCGCGCCTCCGTCTTGCGCGGTCTCGGGCTCGAGCCCCCCTGGTGCGCTGGGTGACGAGGCACTTACGTACTTGCTTACTTACTTTGCTTGCCAGTGCACTGTCTTGCGTACGGACCTGCTTGCTTTTTTTTGCGGTGGGAGGGAGGGGGGGTGGGGGGGGGTTAGTTACTTACTTACTTACTTACGGACCTGGGTTCCTGATGCCGCTTCTCATGTTTTCGGTAAAGCGGTAAAAATGTGTCTCGGCAAAACCCGTTTTACACCCATTTAACCAGCTGTCACTATCTTCCTGTACCAAGCAGCATGCACACAGCGGAAGACTTTGCCCGAGCTGCTGCCATGGGCAAAGCGGCTTCTAGGCTCACCTGGACCTGTTCAAGGCACACACGGGCCAAGCGCAATTGATAGGTGTGTGAAGGACGCGACCGTCATGCGCAGTCCTGAAGCTTTGATCTGGCATCAGCATCCTCGATTGACGATCCACTGCGTTCAACCTGAAGATTTGCAACTCAGGCCAAGAGCGCAATGGCAAATGCTGAAGCGCAGGCCTCAATAGACGAGAATGCGCAGTGCAATTTGATGCATGAAAGGCGCATCGGTTGATTCCAATGAGCGTGCGATCTCGCAGGTTCCAGGCGAGCCTGCACTTCCCGCGTTGACACGTTCCCTCACAAGCTGTCAAAGAACGGCTGCCACAAATCTCACTGATCAGCCGTGCGGCTGGCGCAAGCTGCATCAATCATCCCTGCAGAGTAGGCTCTGACTGCTGACATCCTGTCCTGAGCTCGTCAAAAACAACAAGCGACCACTATGGAGCGTCCATTCCAAACTTCCATGTTCATCCATCGAGGCACCTGCCAGAGCTCTTCGTCATCGGTGTCTGGCCAGACGGTTACGGCCTCTTGAGGCTCCTCATAGCTCAGCTCGTAGGGCACGTAACCTGAAAAGCTCCGCCAGCGCCGGATCTGCAAAGGCGACGATGACTCATCGTCCTGACAAACAAAGACGAGTGGGAGAGGTGGGAGACGAGGCTCGTAGACCGTCATGGCGCCCGAGGGAGATATATTGAGCAAGACTGCGCTGACAAAGCGTGAAGCAAAGCATCGGACGAGAGAGCATCGGTGTGGCGGCCGCGCTCCCGAAGCCAAAGCCATGCTTTCGCAGCTCGAGCTAAACACTCCTCTCTGGTGACCGAAGCCACTCGCGGTTTGATTTCTACCAGAGTTCCTTGCTCAGAGGTCCACCGCAGAGAAAGTGACACTAAGTGCAGGTTGTTTGGAGTAGCTAGTTGCTTCAGGATTGTCACTTTACCCACACATGGGCAATATTCAATTCAGATCCATTCGCGCGGCCTGAGCGCTTGCACTTGGGTGGCTCAAAAAACGAGCCTGGATGGTTGATCCTTTCAGCTCGGAGCCAGGCAGAGTTTGCTGTTCTTTGCATCAATTATAACATATTTGGCGATGTCTACAGTGTTGCAAGCAATGGTCCATCGCAGCGAACTCTTCTGTGTACCCTCAGGCTTACAGTGAATTGTGCTTGGGGCACAATGTATACTACATGCAAAGTCAAACCTGGATCAAAAGAGTTCTTTGAGAGCGATTTTTAAGACTGCTAAGCAATGCTCAGCTTGCGTCCAGGTCTGAGTAGATTGAGAATGGCCTAACGAACAGGGCACTTGAGCCAGGGGGTCAAGCAAAGGATTGGTTGAAAGCAGTGCTGTGAAGATGCCCACCACACTGCCCCTTGGCAAAAGTTGCTGTCCGACTGTCGTTGCATGTGATGCAAAAAAAAAGCAAGGCGAATTGTGAATTCATTCATGCACAGCAGCTCCAGCTTCGCTTCACTAGTTTAGCAAAAGGTAGAAGTCGGGTCCGCTGTTGTTTGACGTGTCAGAGATGCGGACTTCTTGCCAGTGAGTTTCAACGGCAAATGCTGGCAACTCTCCGGCAAGCTAACCTGCAAGAAAAATTCTCCGGCGCCTGTTTGAGATGCTAGGACGGCAACTGCGTCGAAAAGAAACACATTCCGCTCATGCTCTATTCCTGTCTTTAACTTCCACGCTCATCAAGCCCAGCATGTGAGGCAGCGGCTTGCGTTCCTGTGGACACTTTGGCATGGCTAAGGGTCGCAGGTCCGTCGCCGGCATCATGGCCCTCGCTTTCTGCAAGGCGATGGCACCCGCTCGCATGGCCTGCATGACCTGCTTGGAGCCCGGAGATGCAGACACAGATCCCGCTGGCGAGCTCGCTGGCGAGCGCCAGGGAGGGACCGCTGCCGACGCGTGCTCCGATGTGTGGCCAAAGTGCCCCACGTGGCCAGCCACGTGTGAACTGTCAGGGCTCGGCTCCTCAGTCTCCAGAGCTGCGGAGGAGACATAGGGCTTCAGCTCCGGGTTCCGGATCCGGCGCAGGCGAGGTCCGCACCACTTCTTCAGGTTTGACGCCAAGCCCTTCCAAGGTCCACTCAAGAGACAGGTGGCTGTGGTCAAAAATAGGTACCCAAAATGGAACCGTGGTAAATGGAACCAAAGACTAAAACCTGCGGTCCCCTGGTGGCTTTTTTTTCTTGACCCACACCCAGGTTTCTTTTCAGGGCGTGTGGAAACATGCCATGGGGTTTGCTGGACTTCCTGTCCTGCACGTCAGCGCTCGTGATGACAAGCTGCTGGCCGGCCAATGCCGAAGAAGCCGGAAAGCTCCGCCGATTCCAGGAGTTGCGGAACATGCTGGCCGTCTCTGGCGATGTAAAGTTGACAAAGGCATAGCCTTGGAGCCAAACACTGGTATACCTCCTTGTGGCTTTTGCTCACTCAACGCAGTCTTCAGTTCACGGTGATTCATTTACAAAGTGTCTATCCTTTGCTGGGCCCATATTGCATATATGATATATGTTGGTATCTCGAGCGACTGAGGACGCGGCCCTTGTTTTCCACGGACTTGAAGTCCCGCGGCAGGTAGCAAAAGTCGTAGAGACCCGCGAGCCCAAACTGGTTGAGCTCATTCAACAGGTCCCGCTGCGTCAGTTGCTCAGGCAGGCTCCGAATCATCATGGTGGTATTCTCGGAATTCTTGGCTCAAGCTGAAGTGCAATGGCCCAAAGTGTGCGTAACACACGCTGTGGCCCGAACGCCACCCCAAGATTTGCCAGGGATCGTGCCTCTTAGTAACATGCTCAAACAACAATTACGAGCAATCTCAAGGCAAGCTTGATATTGTGTATCTGTTCTTGTGACGTTTGTGGAGCCTCAAACTATGAGAGCTTCGCTCTGGTTCTTCCAAGCATCCAGAGCCTTTGGCGAGCCTTCCAGCCGACTGGACCGAGAAGCCTCATGCGCAGAGACACGAAATTTCATGGCCTCTGGCTCATGAGCATAATAATCGATCTCTTTCCTTTGAAATAAAATGCTGATATCAAAGACCAAAGCGGCATAGCCATAGCCCGTCTTACCACTTACCAGCGGCTGACAGGAGTGTCTTCATAGCAACAACAATTCGTGAGTTTATCGGTAATGACCTTCTGGAGCAGAACTATTTTAAAAGGAAAGCTCAATCGAGTGACTCTGGACTTACACGTCGAATATCCTTTCTCATCATCTGACGCGTCCTTGGCGGAACGAGCGAGCAGTCTGATTGCACGTTGAAACTGTCTGCAATGAATGATTGAAGAACTCCCAATTGCCAAGCAGGCACGGAGTGCTCATCAACCTCAAGTTGCTCCATCACTCATCAGAACCAGACAATTGCTGCTCATATTTGAGCAGGCGTTGGCAGGTCCAAACACCATTCAATTTGCTTGGCACAGTCATCCATCGTCCCCATCATCAAAGTGAGTGACCTACTTGTAGTGCAAAGCTCCGCTGCAGTTGTATCCAATGCCTTCCAAGCCACTGAAAAGTGTGGGCCAGCCGCGATCGGCGTGGAAGACACAGGTGATGCACGAGCAGTTATCATGCCTCGTGACCTTGAAACAACAGCCTTCGACAAAAGCGCTTGTTGGTGTGCGTGTGTGTAGGAGTCAAAATTTGGACTCCACGTGGTTGGATTCTGCAGGCTTCCCTTGAAACCTCAAACACAAACCATCCAAAAGACAGCCGGTGCAAAACGGCCGGCAAAGGAATGCATGAACCGTGCCGCCAACTACAATCATCCCCTCGCTTGCTAAGATTCTCCTGTGATTCATGTGAGTTGCCAGTAGAGGGGCATTGGTGTGGACTGCGGATTGGTGGCAAGAACGGCATCGGTGGCGTATCCGGCATCTCGATGTGGAATGGGCAGCCTCAGTGTGGCTTGCCGGCGAGCAGGTCTCTAGGCCCTCAGCGCTGACCATTTGGGCAACTGTCACTATCTTACTGTACCAAGCGGCATGCACCCAGCAGAACACTTTGCTCGAGCTGCCATGGGCAAAGCGGCTTCTAGGCTCACCCGGACCTGTTCAAGGAACACACATTTCAGCGCCATTGATAGGTTTGTGAAGGGCGGAACCGTCATGCGCACATCTTCGTGAAGCCCTCGTGCAGTCCTGAAGCTTTCTGGCATCAGCATCCTCGATTGACGATCCACTGCGTTCAACCTGAAGATTTGCAACTCAGGCCAAGCAAGAGCATAATGGCAAATGCTGAAGCGCAGGCCTCAATAGACGAGAATGCGCAGTGCAATTTGATGCATGAAAGGCGCATCGGTTGATTCCAACGAGCGTGCGATCTCGCAGGTTCCAGGCGAGCCTGCACTTCCCGCGTTGACACGTTCCCTCACAAGCTGTCAAAGAACGGCTGCCACAAATCTCACTGATCAGCCGTGCGGCTGGCGCAAGCTGCATCAATCATCCCTGCAGAGTAGGATCTAACTGATTCCTTTCTGTCCTGAGCTCGTCAAAAACAACAAGAGCAATATGGAGCTTCCATTCCAAACTTCCACGTTCATCCATCGAGGCACCTGCCAGAGCTCTTCGTCATCGGTGTCTGGCCAGACGGTTACGGCCTCTTGAGGCTCCTCATAGCTCAGCTCGTAAGGCACGTAACCTGAAAAGCTCCTCGAGCGCCGGATCTGCACAGGCGACGATGATTCATCGCCGCCCTTACAAACAAAGACGAGTGGGAGAGGTGGGAGACGAGGCTCGTAGACTGTCATGGCTTCCGCCGGAAATATATTGAGCCAAAGAACTTTTTGCGTGCGCTGGCAAAGACGCATGCGCGCATGCAGGCACAAAGCAAAGGACCCAGCAGCATCACTGAGCCTTGAAGGCCAAACCGGTGCCGATCTCTTTGTCAACGGCGGCTACGCCTTGCTGTATGCTGTGATATGGCTCATAGGAGGTGTGCTGAAGAACCACCCCCAAACCAATGAAATGCACCGCGTCTAAAAGAGCAAACGATTGGGATGTCTTAGGCCACGAATCTCATTGAGGGTGACGGGTTCGATGGTCAAGCTGCATCAAAGGCCATTGTGAGCTTTTTTGGCTTGGCTAGGCACTGAGTCCAAGCGGCTGCTCTAGAGGCGAAAGCCTTGGCTCCTCATGTGTGCCTCAGACGGGCCCCGTCTCAAAACCCCCCCTCAAGGCGACTCAAGACGCATCTGAGAAGGCGGCGATCCCAAGGTGAGCACAACTCCGTAGAGGCCCAAGGCCATGCCAGCAAAGGCCTGGCATTTCTAACAAATCTGGAACCGTTCCCTTTGTTGGCAGTCAAAGTCAGGCCGGAATGCAGAAAGAATGCAGAGGATGCTCCCGCACGCTTACCGGTTTTGCCTGACAAAAGAGGCTTGTCGTCAATCCACTCTTGCAAGCGTCCCAATCAATGAGTGGACGACAGGGTCTCAAGCGGACTCTCCCAGGAAACAATCTTATCAGCAGTGCATGTGCGAGAATTGAGCGCGCCTTGGCAAGCATACATCAAAGGAGGTTCCGCAAAGCACACTGGTGTTGCCACACTGGTGTTGCAAACACCTGTCATGTGCTCCAAGCCTTCTGCCATGTTTAACAATTCTGCATGTGCAGTAGTTTAAGATTTCGAAAGTTGGGCAATGGTAAAACTTGTTGAAACAAACGAACAACAAAATTGACAGCATTCAGGTGGGCGCTCCTTTGCCTTTCTTTGGTTTTACTTACCCGTTTCAGCCGAACCCTGTCCCCCTGCCTGAAGTGAAAAGACGAGAGCATCGCCGTGGTTTTTCTTCGCGGAGCGCCGAGCCATGCTTTCGCAGTGGTTCGAGGTTGGAAATAAAACTCCAGAGGTGACCGAAGCCACGCATCGCGGTTTGATTTCTACCAGTACCAGAGCTCCTTGCTCTGTAGTCAAGGTCTATCGCGGAGAAAGTGACGGTGAGCAGATTGGTTTGAGCTCGTTGCTTCAGGATTGTCACTTTAACCACACATGGGCAATATGCAATTCAGATCCATTCGCGCAGCCTGAGCGCTTGCACTTGAGTGGCTCAGAAAACGAGCCTGGATGGTTAATCCTTTCAGCTCGGAGCCAGGCAGAGTTTGCTGTTCTTTGCATCAATTATAACATATTTGGCGATGTCTACAGTGTTGCAAGCAATGGTCCATCGCAGCGAACTCTTCTGTGTGCCCTCAGGCTTACAGTGAATTGTGCTTGGGGCGGGCACAATGTACAATGTCCACCTACTGTGAATGGACGAAATCCTGCGCCACCTAAGAAACCCTCGTTTCTGATGATTCCCCTGTAAATACCAACAAACGTTATGGTTTCAACCATGGTTTCCTTTCGTGGTGCCTAAGAGGATTCCGATTTCAACCATCCACACGATCTGATTAGTAGAAACCCCCTGAACAATGGTACGCACGCCCTTTATGGTGACAGCAGCCTTTTGTGACGACAGCCCAATAGGAGTCGGGCCTCATGAATCAGATAAGGGTACCCTCCACAAAATCATTTGCACTAAAACCATACCCTAAATGAAGCTGAGGATCTGGGTGACTTCCTGGAAACGGATCCTTAAGTACAAAAGCAAATCACAAATAGTCTTGCCCTTCGTAAAGTCGTATGATTGACACGAAGCACTGTCCCTAAATAAAACGAATCATCTGGCTCACTTCCTGGAAATGCATCCCAATATGAAAACAAAATAAAAGTACAAATGCCGCTTTTACAGACTACTACCAAGCTGGCAAACGTCCTGGAATTTGACCGCACTACAAAACCAATTCAAAAATTGTCAGACTTCCTGGAACCTGACAGTGCAGCAGTACAAAGCAATTCAAAAGTAGTGCTGCTAAACTTGTGAGCTCCAACTCCAAAAAACTTTGAATGCTAGACAGAATCGGTCGTTAGGGGAGTTGAGGCTACCACCAGAGTTCCTTGCTCAGAGGTCCACCGCGGAGAAAGTGACACCAAGTGCAGGTTGTTTGGAGTAGCTAGTTGCTTCAGGATTGTCACTTTAACCACACATGGGCAATATGCAGTTCAGATCCATTCGCGCAGCCTGAGCGCTTGCGCTTGAGTGGCTCAAAAAACGAGCCTGGATGGTTGATCCTTTCAGCTCGGAGCCAGGCAGAGTTTGCTGTTCTTTGCATCAATTGTAACATTTTGGCGATGTCTACAGTGTTGCAAGCAATGGTCCATCGCAGCGAACTCTTCTGTGTACCCTCAGGCTTACAGTGAATTGTGCTTGGGGCGCAATGTATACTACATGCAAAGTCAAACCTGGATCAAAAGAGTTCTTTGAGATGAGCGATTTTTAAGACTGCTAAGCAATGCTTCGCAGCTTGCGTCCATCCAGGTCTGAGTAGCTTGAGATGCATGGCCTAACGAACAGGGCACTTGAGCCAGGGGGTCAAGCAAAGGATTGGTTGAAAGCAGTGCTGTGAAGATGCCCACCACACTGCCCCTTGGCAAAAGTTGCTGTCCGACTGTCGTTGCATGTGATGCAAAAAAAAGCAAGGCGAATTGTGAATTCATTCATGCACAGCAGCTCCAGCTTCGCTTCACTAGTTTAGCAAAAGGTAGAAGTCGGGTCCGCTGTTGTTTGACGTGTCAGAGATGCGGACTTCTTGCCAGCGAGTTTCAACAGCAAATGCTGGCAACTCTCCGGCAAGCTTTCCTGCAAGAACAATTATCCGGCGCCTGTTTGAGACGGCAACTGCATCGAAAAGAAACGAATTCGGCTCATGCTCTACTCTTGTCTTTAACTTCCACGCTCATCAAGCCCAGCATGTGAGGCAGCGGCTTGCGTTCCTGTGGACACTTTGGCATGGCTAAGGGTCGCAGGTCCGTCGCCGGCATCATGGCCCTCGCTTTCTGCAAGGCGATGGCACCCGCTCGCATGGCCTGCATGACCTGCTTGGAGCCCGGAGATGCAGACACAGATCCCGCTGGCGAGCTCGCTGGCGAGCGCCAGGGAGGGACCGCTGCCGACGCGTGCTCCGATGTGTGGCCAAAGTGCCCCACGTGGCCAGCCACGTGTGAACTGTCAGGGCTCGGCTCCTCAGTCTCCAGAGCTGCGGAGGAGACATAGGGCTTCAGCTCCGGGTTCCGGATCCGGCGCAAGCGAGGTCCGCACCACTTCTTCAGGTTTGACGCCAAGCCCTTCCAAGGTCCACTCAAGAGACAGGTGGCTGTGGGTCAAAAATCGGTACCCAAATTGGAACCTTGGTAAATGGAACCAAAGACTAAAACCTGCGGTCCCCTGGTGGCTTTTTTTTCTTGACCCACACCCAGGTTTCTTTTCAGGGCGTGTGGAAACATGCCAGGGGGTTTGCTAGACTTCCTGTCCTGCACGTCAGCGCTCGTGATGACAAGCTGCTGGCCGGCCAATGCCGAAGAAGCCGGAAAGCTCCGCCGATTCCAGGAGTTGCGGAACACATTGGCCGTCTCTGGCGATGTAAAGTTGACAAAGGCATAGCCTTGGAGCCAAACACTGGTATACCTCCTTGTGGCTTTTGCTCACTCAACGCAGTCTTCAGTTCACGGTAATTCATTTACAAAGTGTCTATCCTTTGCTGGGCCCATATTGCATATATGATATATGTTGGTATCTCGAGCGACTGAGGACGCGGCCCTTGTTTTCCACGGACTTGAAGTCCCGCGGCAGGTAGCAAAAGTCGTAGAGACCCGCGAGCCCAAACTGGTTGAGCTCATTCAACAGGTCCCGCTGCGTCAGTTGCTCAGGCAGGCTCCGAATCATCATGGTGGTATTCTCGGAATTCTTGGCTCAAGCTGAAGTGCAATGGCCCAAAGTGTGCGTAACACACGCTGTGGCCCGAACGCCACCCCAAGATTTGCCAGGGATCGTGCCTCTTCGTAACATGCTCAAACAACAATTACGAGCAATCTCAAGGCAAGCTTGATATTGTGTATCTGTTCTTGTGACGTTTGTGGAGCCTCAAATGAGAGCTTCGCTCTGGTTCTTCCAAGCATCCAGAGCCTTTGGCGAGCCTTCCAGCCGACTGGAGCAAGAAGCCTCATGCGCAGAGACACGAAATTTCATGGCCTCTGGCTCATGAGCATAATAATCAATCTCTTTCCTTTGAAATAAAATGCTGATATCAAAGACCAAAGCGGCATAGCCATAGCCCGTCTTGCCACTTACCAGCGGCTGACAGGACTGTCTTCATAGCAACAACAATTCGTGAGTTTATCGGTAATGACCTTCTGGAGCCGAACTATTTTAAAAGGAAAGCTCAATCGAGTGACTCTGGACTTACACGTCGAATATCCTTTCTCATCATCTGACGCGTCCTTGGCGGAACGAGCGAGCAGTCTGCTTGTACGTTGAAACTGTCTGCAATGAATGATTGAAGAACTCCCAATTGCCAAGCAGGCACGGACTGCTCATCAACCTCAAGTTGCTCCATCACTCATCAGAACCAGACAATTGCTGCTCATATTTGAGCAGGTGTTGGCAGGTCCAAACACCATTCAATTTGCTTGGCACAGTGCGAAAGCCATCCTATTTGATCCATCGTCCCCATCACCAAAGTGAGTGATCTACTTGTAGTGCAAAGCTCCGCTGCAGTTGTATCCAATGCCTTCCAAGCCACTGAAAAGTGTGGGCCAGCCGCGATCGGCGTGGAAGACACCGGTGATGCACGAGCAGTTATCATGCCTCGTGGCCTTGAAACAACAGCCTTCGACAAAAGCGCTTGTTGGTGTGCGTGTGTGTAGGAGTCA